ATCCCTTTCCCGGTTGGCGGAGTTATCTTTACGTGTGCCGCTGCCCGTACCCTAGAGGGCGTTAACCGTACTGTGTCTCTTGTCGTCTGTCGGTGTACGTGTTCTATCGCCAACGCCACCAGCCCCCACCACCCAGGACTGCCACGCCATCCGAACTGCAACCGAAGGTCTACTACCAGGAACTCCCTTACCACATACCCGAAAGCCGGCGCCCCTGCTGAGTCTACTGGAATTTGGCGAAAGGCGCTCTTCGCGTCCATTTTTTGCAACAAAATCGTCCTTCTTGGATACCTAGCTCTCAACCCCAGGAACCGTTCTAACACCTCCTCGCCATCCCGCATGCCGGAACCTCTTCAATAAATGGGGTCGCATTCACCGGCCGCCCTTCCCCCCCCGTTGCTTCCGCTACTGGTATAGTCAGATCGTGTATCACCCGAAGGTTCTCTTTCTCTTCCACCACCCCGACCGGAGAGACGCGCAAACCCGGATTTTTTCAGCATCTTCTCTCCTAAACCTCACCGCCCTGCCTGCTTCCGCATACTCTACCACCTTCTGCCAAATCGCTGTGTGCCATTTTTGCGCGCTCGGATGATTCCCGTAGGCTAACTCATGCTCCACGTCTCCCCCTGGTCCTATTGCGATGGGTACCCCCACTTTTGCAATTATTGCCAGCACCCCCACTTGTCCAAAGATCTCAAAACTTCGGGCAATCCGTTTCGCACCCATATGAGGCGCCAACAAACGTCCACCCAGACTCGCACGACATGTCCGATACCACCTCCGCTAGCATCTATCATCTCTTCCCTCGGGGGGGGGGCACTCAAACGGGGTTCACGCGCTGGTTCAGTTTGTGCATGGGGGGGGGAAAGGGTACGGGGCGGGTACGGGGGGCAAGCTCTCAGACAATACGGCCCACGCCATACCGGCCAACACTGTCATCGATTTCAATTGGTCCGCCGATCCGGTTTTCGTTTTCCGAGCCTCGATAGCGCTGATCGCCACCTTGCTTTTCTCTCAGCCGCGTCACCCGGTGATGTACCTGCTGCTCCGGACGCCACCGGCCCCAGCACCGGCCCCGTCTCCGCGTCCATGACCCACTCCCCGCTCGCGCGCGCGCCCCATCCCCGCCCCCCTTGGCCCCGCCTGCCTGCGGAACCCGCGCTCTCATTTCTTCGGGGCGGGATCCCCTTCGGCGTCTGCCCCCCCCCTCTTCTTGGCACCGCCGAGCCTGGTGATGCCTTTGCCGTTGTGTTCGCCGCCGGTGTGCCGGTACCGGCACGCATAGCCCTTCCGATACTCATGGGTGCAGACGTTCTCTTCCTTGAACTTCACGCACTCGTCTCCGCCAATGTGGGATGCGACGTGCCCCGCCCCCCCCCCCCCCCGGTTCCTTCCCGGCTCTGCCCGCCTCGCCCTTTGCTCCTCCGTATCCTCCGCCGCCGCTCCCGCCCCCCTCCCCTCTCCCTCCGCTGCCCCCGTCGCTCCCTCCGC